AGGTGCCTCGGCCGAAAGAAGCCTAAGGGGTGTGTGTGTGTGTGTGTTCAGGCCCAAATTGGCTGCAATCTTCATACAATCATTACTTTGGGAGAACACCAGACAGACAGCTGGTTGACCATGCTTGCCAGACACGATTCGACACATCAATGGATCTTCACGACTCAGTCGCCGGCTTTCCCGCATCTGTCAGCACCAAGGACCCCCCGTCTCCGCGAGTCTTAAGCCTCCACGTGGCTTTGCTCAGCGGCCGGAAATGCCTCGTGACGAACTTGTGTGGGACAACGCCCATCTATGAACTCAGGCGACATGGACCTGGAACGTGTCGACGGTATAGGTGTTTCGGGTCGTACCTGAAAGCCACGTCCGTGGGAGTGAAAAATTACGAAATCTTAGACTCTTAGACAATCCGCCCATTTGGATAAAACCTTTGCAGATGGCTTTTGTTTGATCAAGAGTCTACTAACACTAACGTTAACTAATTATTGAGGATTATTGAGGATTATATAGCTGGTTAACTTATCATCATATATGGTGGACTGAGATGGGCCTGCATCAGGCCCATGCTCTTCAGTAGAACCACTGCTTTCCAAGTTAATAGCGATGTCCTCCATGCTCCCAAACTTCATCCTCAGTCCTATAGGTCGAATCCGCCTCGCAGCGATCTTCAAGCAGCGACTCCCGTCGCGTCGTCACCAACTCGACGCCGCGACGTCGTCGCCTCGTGTGGAGGCGCCGTGTGGAGGGGCAACTGCAGTTGCGAATCAAAGCGCTGGTCTTCGATGGTGTCCTGCCACTTGGGTGCAGTATGTGCGAATCAGACAGAATTCTGTGAGCTGGATCGAAATTTGGAATCGCACCAAAAGCAAGCGAAACAATGGGTGTTTAGTGTTTAGGGAGATGAGATGTTTTTGGGGAAAGGTTGAAAGATCCCAACAAAAGCTGGGCGGATGAGGATCCCGTGTTTTGCCCCTCCTCCTCTCCAGGCGCACCACCTGGACCATGGACGAGGCGCACTTGCAGGATGGTGACCTGGCAGCGTTCGTCGCTGGCAAGGCATCGGATCGCCGAGAGCATTTCGTGTAGAGTTTTTCAAGGGGCACAAGAGAGACAGTACAGTAGGGGAGAAGCAACTACGGGTTCAACACAATTGTCCAATCAAAGGGCTATGAGGCTTCTTTCACCACCAACCAGCGTCCTCCCAGGCGACAGTGTGACCGCGCTGGTGGCGCCCACCCTCGCGCAGCCCACGCGGCACCTCCGCGCCTTTGCGGCGCTGCGCCGCGATGGGCAGGTCGTGGCCTGGGGCACCTTGGGGAAGCATCAAATGGGATGGAGAGTTTTGTGTTGGGAGGGAGGGGAGGGAGGGAGGGAGGGAGGTTTGTGGCTTGGTGCAATTCGGAGTTGTTGTTTTGGTTTTAGGAGTTGCTGAGGCAAAGGATGGCAAAGGGTTTGACGGGTGAGTTTATATGTCAGGATGGATACGTTATAAGAAATGTAAACATGTAAAATCAAGATACGTACATGAGCTTAAAGGAGTTTGAGATTCGGAGACCAACCCCGCTTGACTTATATTATATATAATCACGTCACAAACTTCTCAACTCAATATCCTTTCGAGGGACAGTTCATTTTGACTATCCTGCGGTTTCCACCTAAATGTCTAGTGCTATAAAGGATGTCCAAGATGAATTTCAAGATTGCTCTTTCCAGAGGCAGCATTCTGCTGCATAAAGGTGGCATGTAGTTGAAACATTACCCTCTTCAACTGACTGCTGAAGTCCAACTCAAGCATACCTCATCAGCTTAATGGGTATGCTACACGACTTAAGCATACTTAGAGTCTTATAGCTGAAGTCCCATTGCCAATCTCATCATATCTCATTTGTCTTCAACTCAATACACCGAAATGATGGAGATCCGATCAACCTCGCAAACCGTCGAGGGAGCAGCATCGAATCAAGCCTGACACTGTTTGCTGATTTGTTGTAAAGTGGAAAGACTCAAAACCAGCAGGCTCTTGGAAGCTGGAACAAGGATGACAGCACTCTGGCTCTTTTCTTCGCAAAGCATGTGTCACAAAGCTGTACCAATACTGGAAACACGATGGCGATCACACCCTTTCATCCAAACCACAGATCTATCCCAAAGCTCCAAAAAGAGCCGGTAAATACTCCATATCATCTCACCCATCCTCACGGCATCCTTGACCTTCCAAGTTCTTCGACTGCGCCACCCCAAACCGCGCGGCCCATCCCAACCCGAGGCGACCCGCTCTCCGGCGGACTGGGCGGACTTCCGGGCGGCACCTTCGCGGCGCGCGCGGTGCGCAGCTCGCACGCGGCCTTCGCGGCCATCGGGAGGGTCGCTTGGGAAAGTGAAATTAAGGGTACAAAAGATGGGTCTTCAATGGTCTTCCTAGAGCTTGGTCGCAAAGGGGTCCAATGGAATAGCTGTGCTCGTTCCTACTTCTTGAGACAACAAAACAAGGTCATCATATTTTCATTGGTCTTGGAAGGGATGGGGCTACATAAGATTGTCCTGAAAATGCCTAAGAATCCTATGCCTCCCATGGAAGGGGGCGGGGGGGAAGTGCACAATCACCCCGTGCCGGGCGAGAGAGAGCAGAGATTTGCTCTCTTTCGCACTTGGAGTGAGATTGGCTCTCGAGCTCCTTTGACGTTTTTTCAGAATAAACCCTTCAGCATTGAAAGCGGAATGTTCAGGCGGGTGCCTCGATGCACATCTTGGGGTAGAAAGGTTGACCTACTGGGGTGTTCAGGAAGTGGTTCACCCTATTCAACCATAAGATCAAAGATATTGAATGGCATTCTTCATTGGAAAGGGGTGTTCAAGAAACCTCCTGGAACGGGCGGAGCCTCGGCTGTGCACGCGGAATTTGCTCGCCTGTACACGCGCTTGGATTTGCTCGGTTGTGCACGCGCTCCTCGGCTGTACACGCGGCTTGCTCGGATGAATGAATGAATGAATGAACGAAGCAATGAGCAAACAGCTATCATCATGTAGATGAATGTCCAGAGGGACGTTATTAACACCCCCCCATCCCAACCCAACATCATCAATCAAACGCAGAGCATCTGTGTGACATGGTACTGTGGAAGCAATGAGCAAAAAGAGATCATCATGACTCAGTTTGCGTGTGCGCAAGTGAGCGAAATCTGTGTGCGCAGATGAGTTTGAGGTAACATGCACTGTTTAAAGAAGAATGTAATCGTGTGCGCAGCTGAGCGAACCCTGTGTGCGGAGGTGAGTTAAATGTATCATGCAAGGCTGTGTGCGCAGCTGAGCGAATCTTGTGTGCGCAAGTGAGGCGCCGGTCTCTGGGGCACCTCCAAGGCCATTTGGCCTCCTGCGAAGCTCAATAGGGCACCTGTTTGTCGGAGTTGGAGAGTGCCATGTTACACTGGAGGGCTAACCCTAGTTTGAGCTGGAGGCTGAGATCAGCCAGTTGGGGACCGCTTATTTGCTTTCGGATTGCAGCAAGTTGAAACTTGCCTAACTTGCCCCTCCAACACCTAGCCAATAGGGTGGAGGCCATCACTACTGTATTAGGTTGGAGGCCATGGCTACTGGTAACAAGTACATTACTACTAGTAGCAAATAGCTACCAGTCCCTCCAACACCTAGCATGGTCAAGTACATCCTCAGGATGGCTCCTCCAACTCGCTCAGGATGGCAGCGTGGTCACTTGGGGCTCTCCTCATGCGGGAGGCGACAGCGCCATGGCCATTCAGTTTGTGTGGAAAATTGACAGGTGAGCAGACTGGGGCATGTGGTCAAGACTTCTTTTAAACGTGGAGTTCTGCTGGAAAGTCTTCACTCCAGTCTTTAGTCTTCCTCCCAATTTCTACACCACCTGCCTTTTGCCGCTTTCCATGGGCTGATGTTCCTCCCAGGTCACCAGGTGCAAGACCAGCTGCACGACGTGGTGGATGTCTTCTCCACACACAGCGCCTTTTGTGCCTTGAAGCGCGATGGCTCCGTGGTGACCTGGGGTGCCTGGTACGCGGGCGGTGACAGCGCCTTGGTTTCGAACATCCCAAACACCGCGGAGGCGATAGACAGGTTTCTGGGAGGTGGTTTGTGTTTCGAGCAGGTTGGTGCCAACCTTCAGAACACACAACTAGCCGCTACGATGAAGAGCGTGGTTTCCGGTACCGCGGAGGATCTCAGAGAGCCTGCAACTGTTCTGCCACCCTACGAGTCAAGGACCCTCAAATATAAAGGTTTCCAGGGTCCAAACCGCAACCCCCTTCCAGTTTGGAGGGTCCAATGATGCTCATGGATGCTTACATTATATTAGAACCTGGACCTTTAAGTTTTTTTGGGGGGAATTGGATTCTTCCACTCAAAACCCCAACAGCGAGAGTGCTCCGGTTTGGGTCATCCGATGCGTCCACTTTGAAGAGCCAGGGCACGTCTTGGTTGACCGAAGAGCCGGAAAATCGAGCATACTCTGTGCCGCAGCCATGGTCGGAATTGATTGGAACAAGCAGTTTGCCTGCGTGTGAGCAGGCATGAAGAGGCGTATGTGACAAATATTGAGAAGAGTAGATACGTTCAACATGCTCATCGATTAGATGGGGTTGTTGTTTTGCGTGTTTGCAATGACTCTCGCCCATTTGTGCAGCTGGCCATGGCCATGAAGATTCAATCCCGGCAGCTTAATGGAAGAGTTGACGCGGTAGAAGTGGCACCAGATGCTTAGTACAAGTCATCATTAGTAATCAAATTAGTCTGTGTTTTCGGTCCAGTTGGTCCAGTGCATGTTTTGCTGATGTATCTCAACTGCCAACAGGTGATTCCAGTTCTATTTACAGCCTTCGGCATGCCGCCGGCCATCAGCTCGAGCCCGCACGGCTGGTCGCCATGGCCCGGGCGTGTGTAGCTGTGTGTAGCTATTGTGTTTTTTTGTGCGCAGGTTATGCAAAGGTTAGCTAACAGAGTGTACGATATCAAAGTGCGTGAAAACAAGGGGTTTGTGCGCGACACGACTTGGAACATGCACGCTGGCTGGAGATGTTTGTGTCAATGAGGTGCGGCGTCAAAACGAAGTAGTGTAAGAGCCATGTAAGTGGAGAGCAACTGGCCAAAAACAAAAGCTGCGCTGGTGTAAAAGCGAGTGGGCAGCGAACAGTACTTGCAGAGAGCACGTGTGTAACACAGAGCTTCTGCAAAAGCGGCGTGTAAGCGAAAAAATGTAGCGAGGAAATGGTTGCAAGGGGCTTGTGCGCGACATGACTTGGAAGGTGCACAGGTTGCGGTGTCAGAACGAAGTCGTGTAAGAGCCATTGCCTAGAATAACGCCGTGACAGTGTAAGCGATATAGAACCCAATTGGCAGCGAGTTCCCGCAAAACGCGTGGAAAAACCAAGGTTGTTATACGTGTTTCTACACACGCGCGACTGTGCGCCAATGCATGGCCTGCTTGAAAAAGACGAAGAGGGGGAAGAGAAGAGAAGGAGAACGAGAACGAAAAGAGAAGAGAAGCGAAGACAAGAGACGAGACAAGACAAGGCGAGAGGGGGGTAGGAGCGCCTCAACATTAAAGGACGAAAAATGACTTGGGAAGATGATTTTCATTACTAAAAGTACGAGCACCTCAACATTAAAAGAAGAAAATGAGTTGGGAAGATGATTTTCTTTACTAAAAGTACGAGCACCTCAACATTAAAAGAAGAAAAATGAGTTGCGAAGATGATTTTCATTACTGCAAGTACGAGCGCCTCAACAGTAAAAGACGAAAAATGAGTTGGGAAGATGATTTTCATTACTAAAAGTACGAGCACCTCAACATTAAAAGAAGAAAAATGAGTTGGGAAGATGATTTTCTTTATTAAAAGTACGAGCACCTCAACATTAAAAGAAGAAAGATGAATTGGGAAGATGATTTTCTTTTCTAAAAGTACGAACACCTCAACATTAAAAGAAGAAAAATGAATTGGGAAGATGATTTTCTTTACTAAAAGTAAGGCAAGAGAGGGGGGGGGGGTGTCAGGCTGCCGAAAAATCCGCGCGGAGAGACAAACCTTAAGCTGAAACCAAGACAAGCTATACTAACCAAAACAATCCACAAAACACGCCGGCAGGCCGGCGGATTTGATTCTTGGGTGCAGAGAATGTTATTGTTTGGTGGTGTTTTATTGTTTTTGTTGATCTCCCGAGTGCCCAATTGGGAAAATGGATGTGTTTATCAGCCGTGATTTGGTGTGCACCTTCTTGGTCGTTCATGTCACCCTTGGGGTGGAGCGCAGAACTGTTTGGGGTGCGGTCATTGGGGTCTTGCCACGAAGCTGGGTGGGGACATAGGAACAACCCCACCACGGTCATTGGGGAGCTCACCTTCGTTGGCAACACCTGCACATGGGGGAGCTCTTCGTCATTGCTCTTCTGCGGATTCGTCCCTTTCTTGTAATTTGGAAACTCAAATCCTCAGTGGACGATTGGCAGAAGAGGTCATACTTTAGAAGATACTGTATCTTTGGACATATCCACAATATCACTCAGCTTGTTCTGCCCACTGCAACTGTTAGGATGCCACCATCCGTGAGTTCAAACACCTGCTGAAGGACTTGCAGCCATGCCATGACGAGGTCACGCGAAGGCTAACGACGGTAGACGTGATTTTCGAGCTGCAGACCTTGGACGATCGGAAGACGCTGGTTGAAGCAGGCATATCCGCTGGTATTTAGCCAAGTAAGGGAGTGGTGCGCCATGCATTTTCCATGTGGATTTCTAGATCCGAAGCAAAAGCAGGTCCAATGACCGCTTTCAGCTTGTTAGAGCTTCTGTCGATACTCTAGTAGAGTAAAGACCTGTAGAGGCGATTTGGTGTATTATACTTTTCTTCCACTGGCTGCGTTACATGTGGATTCCTAGCACGATTGGAGTTTCCTAGCACGCTTTTTCCTCAAAACGCAGGTGCAGGTGCTCTTCAGGCCCTTAGAGCCTGTGGAATGTCACGACTCCTGGCATATCCCAGGAGTCTCATGTCCTGAAGACTTCCTTTTTGTGAAAATCCCGCGCTGGGCGACCCACGTTGAACGGTCGGCCTTCGCCGGCTGCACCACATTGGTGAAAGTGGAAATACCAAACACTGTGACGTCTATTGGAGAGAATGCTTTTCAATGCTGCACAAAATTGGTGAAAGTGGAGCTTCCCAATACAGTGACTTCAATTGGAGCTTATGCCTTCCACGCGTGCCGTGACCTGAGTGAAGTGAACATTCCAAACACTGTGACTGATATTGAAGATTTTGCATTTACGGAGTGCCACGGGTTGACAAAGTTGACAATTCCCAACTCTGTGACTTTCATAGGCAAGGGGGCCTTTAAAGGCTGTCGCTCCTTGAGAGAACTGATCATTCCCAGCTCTGTGACTTCTATCAGTCCCAGTTCCTTCCTGGGTTGCAGCTCCTTGAGCCACTTGACCATTTCCGATTCTGTCAATCACATCGGAGCGGGCGCTTTTGAAGGCTGCAGCTCGTTGGCAAACTTGATGATCCCCAAGTCTGTGACTTTCATTGGTTATGGTGCCTTCGAACAATGCAGCTCAATGGTAAACTTGATGGTTCCCGACTCGGTCACTTACATTGGAGACGGTGCCTTCAAAGGCTGCAGCTTATTGCGAGAAGTGGACTGCCAGAGTTTGTTACCCTTGGAGAGGATGCTTTTCCAGAGTCTGTCACGTTGATTCGTAACGCGAAGAGGCAGAGGCATCAGACCGACAGACAGATTACGTTGGAACATTTGTCAGAGAAAGAATCCGCCAGTCAAGCTTGAGCCTCCTATGTCGCTTGTAGCTCCCTGAGGACTTCAGGTGCCGCGTGGGGTTTTTGGGAACTGGAACGTCACCAAGTCTCCATTTTGCTTAGGCTTATATACACCGTAGGAAAGCAGGTACCCCTTCTCCAAGGACCTCAATTAGTGGTCGCAAATTAGGCATTGGTTCGATTGGTCAAGTTCCTCAATTTTATCCAGTACTTTCAGTCTAGAGTCTCTATTGATACAAGAGTATTTTTGAACATCGGCGTTTGGTACCAAAAGGATCAAAAAAGTACCTTTGGGGCCTTTGGGCACTGACTTTGTTTGGCAGTTTTTGGGGGTTCAAGATTTATAGCTACATGAATTATCATGAATTTTTTACTGTACATGATACTGATATTGGAATGTATCGGCCACAGCTTGGTAACGTCTTCAAAACATCGGCTGACTGTGCCTTTCAACACAGAGCGGTACGTCCAAAGAGCAAATGTTCCCATTGAACAGCGACCAGTTATATAAGCTTCCCTAAAAGTCTAGGAACCAAATCATTAGTGCGAGCGTGTCAGGCACGGGGAGCTTCCTTGAAGAAGCGTGAGCTATCCTGCGTCCTACCTAGAAACTACCTTAGCCTAGTAGCTTACCTCCTTCCTTAATTAAGTAGGCGCCTACTTGATCAAGTCGGTGCGGGCTTTAAAGAACATACAATTGGCCCAAACCGGGACTCACTGTATTGAGCCCCATCTGCCGGATGGGAGTGGCAACAAAGTTGGAACAACCGCGACAAGTTGAAGCTTCTCCCACCGGCGCCGGCAGCCCACGGCTGACTTGGTCTAGACAGAGTTGAAAGATACCTACAATTGTAATCCATCTCTGAAGCGACCAATCTCAATAACATTACTAAATTCAGGAGGCCGAACAGAGACCCAGCCAAACTTAACAAGTTTGATAAGAATACAGCCTAATCAAATTCTTAGTGAATCAATGTCGTATAGTCAACCAAGTTGTTTGCAGATGGTGAAACTATAGTTTGATGGTCACACGGTCACATGCCTTCTGTGTCTTCTTCTCGCGTATTGCACTCACATATCATGGACTCACACTCCAAGCCTTCAAGCCCTTCGGCGTGCCGGCGCGTGTCTTCTCGCCATGAAGATGTGGTTCTGTGTGCCGGCTGAGAGAAGGAGAAGAGGAGAAGTGGACGTGCCGCCGGATGCGAAGCATTGCGAAGCTGTGTCATCAGTCCTGTTTTCTTATGTCTTTTGGTGCGAATAGTTTCAAGTCCTTTTTTGAACTTGGGAACCATTCAGGCCAGTCTGAGTTTCGCCAACAGATTCAACAGATGGTTATATAGAAGTGATATGTCCGAGCGTCACCGGAAATCCCCAAGGGTCCTAGCAATAAAAGAACACAACCACTACTAGCAAATGTTGAATATTTCTAGAGTGTCCTGAACCCCCTTGACTTGGAACATAGGCCTAGCAGGCCTAGAGGGGCCCAACTGAGAAGCGGGAGACTGCTTGGACGTTGTATTTAGTTACCACATTCGGGGAACTATTCAACTGACATGTAATCACAACGTTAGGAAGGCTGGACCGCCATATACAACTCTTAGTAACATTTAGAAACTATTATATATTGACCTCTGAGTGACAGTCAAGCACCTTCCAGCAACCAAGCCAAAGGTTCGAATCCTGCGATTCACCTCTGTAGACTTTAGCCTGCCTAAGGTTCAAAAAAGAAAACTCCCAGTCGGAGCGTCCATCACCCTTTAATATCTCTAATGCTTACCCCCTCCCTGCCCCCTCCTCACATTGGGGATTCCACGTAGCCGATGCAGCACGCCGCGGAAGGAAGGTATCATCCGGGACCCATTTGCGAAAAATGGTTCACAATCCCTTCCCGTTTGGGCTCCAGTCGTACGTTGGTTTCGAAGGTGGGACTGGGGTGGACCTGACTTCAAGTCTACCGTACACCTTAGAAAATGGTTCATGACCCCGTAAAGACACGTACGACTGGGGCCCTATGCTCATGTCGCGTTTTTTTCGCATGTCAGCGATCGTTTGGCCAAAGTCTGGCTAAAAGTCTGTGCTTGTAAGTGCCCTCATCAAACGGAACACGTGTTTTCATGTGGTGCTGTGTTATCAGGCTCAAGACCTCGTGTTGAGCCATGAACGGGTTGCAGTTTTTAGCGCTGCTCCTGGCATGCCATCTACAGGCGCACCGCAGACTGCGAGTGCTAGTAACAATTACTACTAGTAGCAAGAAGCTATACCGCCGGACTGAAAGATAGAATGCCTGGTCTGGGTATATGCGAGGGTATCATTACGGGACTATACTTAGAATGCCTGCAAATTCCAGCGATGGGAAGATAAAAGGGCAGCTATGCAGACATTCAAAGGGTTAAAAGCAGCGTAGGCATTCTAAGCCATAGAGCAGCCTACATGCAGGCATTCTATTTTTCAGTCCGGTGGTATGCTAGTAACAAGGTGCATTGCTACTAGGAACAACTGCATCGCTACTAGTAACAAGGTACATCGCTACTAGGAACAAGTGTCGCTATGAGTAAGCTAGTGTGCTACAAGTAACAAAGCTATACTAATATGTCACTAATATGTCTTACTACTAGAAGTAATTCCCTGGCTGCTAGTAGCGTCCTTCTGTGTGAAATTGGACACAGCCCGGAGGCGCATCCATTGGCTGTGATCATTTGGAGTCATTGTGGATACCAGGACAACTTTTGTCAAAGTATACAAATACATCTTTATAAGACTATATATGACCACCCAGGTTGGATTTTGGATGACACATACATCTTCAGTGGGGGTCTATAAACCACCCGAACTGGGTGGTGCTGGTATGAAGAGGTTTCATAAACAATGCGTTGGGTGGTTTCATTGATCAGCAGTCTACATTATGACAAGGCCCTTGGCATCCCTTGGTCTCAAATGCTGTTAAACACCTTCGATATAGACTATAGACAGAACTCCACTATACTTTACTAGACAATACTTAAGATACCATATTAATCCATATTATACACATATTAGCATTGCTCCACACCTTGCGCGCTAGGCCTTCAGAGCTCGCAGGCGGAGTCGCTGTTGGAAGGGTTCGGTTCGGCTCAAAGGGGTGCTTTACAGTTCCGACCTGGGTCGTCCAGTCTGGTCCTGAACACCTCCATTGAGTCGTGTTGTTGATATGACCAACTCCAATTAGAATGAAGTCAATCTGACCATCTGACCGGAGATGTCCACTGCCCAGACGCGAAGTCTGGACCCGAATCCTTTGGAGGGGTCGGACCCAATCCTCGAGTCAGGGGTTTGGGGTCTCAAATCCCTAGGGTTTTGAGGTATGTTTGGATATGTCCACTGGATCTCACGAACATCGTTGTTCGAGTCCCAGTGGAGGTCTTTGATGCAGGCCATGGGAGGATACTAGTACGTCGCTTCTACAAGGCCTACAAGGCCATGCGAGTACAACGGACCTCTCAAGCTCAAGCCCCAGGCCCCAGACCTCTCAAGTTTTCGTTCTAAGCATTGCGAAGAGCGTTCGTGGCAACTTCAATGAGTGTTTCATGATGTTGCACATGCACAGCCAGCAGTTTGAATCTATATCGAACCACATTTAATTTAGGTTGCCACTGGCTTCGAAGCAGGATGTGTTTTGTTCTTGCCTTTTTGGGCAGAAGCTTGGCTTCGCAGTCGCACCCGAGTGTTTCTCCTTCGAATGACGCCCAACCCCATTGGAATCGGTTGGCTTGGGGGGGCACTGGCTTTGATCTCGACCTTGTGCTCCCAGTCGGAACCTGTTCAAGTCGGTTACGGTGATTTCTGGGCGGGTCTATATGTAGCAAAAGTGGATATCATGCGGGTCACCTTTTGGGGGGCAGATGGTTTTTTCTACTCAACCAGAACAGGTGGACTTCGCGTTGGTTCACCTTGCAAGTATGTTTTGATCGATCGATCTTCCCGCTCGGTGCTTAAACCAGTCCGCAGTCCGCTCGGCGCAGTGAGGTGTGGGGACGATGGCTCCAACGGCACTTGCACGATGATGGAGTAGCTTGGTTTATCAAGTGATATGGTCGCGACCGAGAGAGGCTCCTGGTTTTGGGTGAGATACCCCATGTGCACTTTCAGTGGATGTCTGTGAGGACGTCAATAGGCGTTGCATCCACAAGCCATTTAAGGCCCTTTTGTTCGATCACCCTTATCCCTTACCTGCCATTTGACGTATCGTCGGGGCGTGTGATAAAGGAGGGATTGTGTGTGCGGCGCTTGAGGGATCCTACATGGTAGCGCAGCCCTTCGTGATCTACTGTACGGACTTTGTCACTATCTCGAGCATCTCCAGTATTTCAGGATCCCGGACGATGACGATTACAAGAACGAAGGATGGAGTTCCAGGATGGAACGGAGATCCAGCATCGTGGCTGGAACTTCGCCAGGCAGCCAGGCTGTTCGTGGCATCTACCAAGTTTGAGGCCTGCTACACGTGCGGACCAAAGGTCGCGGCAGAGCTCACTGGTGCAGCGCGCAACGCCATCATGGGCAAGAAAAGATTGGCTGAGCGAAGAGCAGGGGACAAAGACATTGCTACAGCACCTTAAAAAGGACCATCGGGGAGCCAGCACTGCCAGAGGTGGGGAATTTCCTCCGGCAGTACTTCAAAGTGTTGAAGCGGCAAAAAGGGGAATCTATGACAGCATTCTGCGTGAGACATCGTGATGAATATGAACGAATGTGCAGGGCATTGGCCAGAATGCTAAAGGAACATGAGCAGGAGGTGAAATCAACAATGCCGAGCTCTTCGCAATCAGCAGCGGCAGAGAGCGTGGGAGAAATGGGTGACGGACAAGGGGGTCAAGATGATCCTACCAGAGAGACAGCTAGCTCGATGCGACACAAGGCCATGGACCATGGCAAGATCCTTGGTGGGAGAACTACTGGCGGGGCTATGGAAACCACTGGTACAATGGGAATTGGAAGTCCCAGTCGACAAGCAGGACATGGTCACAACAAGGATGGCCTCGTCGATCTGAGGCCCAAGAAGCAGAAGAGGAAGAACAGGTCAGCACCTACCAGACGCAGTCCTGGGATGGATGTTGTTGGACAAGTCAGGCCTTGACAGCATGGAGAAGAGCATCATTCAGGGAGAGGTGAAGGGCAACTTCACTTTGACAGGCATTGAGAATGCCTTGAGAGCTCACTGGGCTGACGACGCCATCAAGAAGAGAGATGGAGAGGGCAGACATTCCTCTCTATTTCAAGGAGAAGATGATGACGAAGAGTATGAAATGCCATTGGACGAGGCAGACGCCTTCTATGAGGGATGGACTGAACGAGAAAAAGCTTGGTATCAAGAAGCCAAGGAAGATGAGCAGCACGCTTGGCTACAGATGCAAGGAGCAAAACGCACTATGAAAGAGGCAAGAGCACGACAACGCGAAGTCAAGATGACAAGAAAGTTCTACAAGTCCTACCCGATTCTAAGTGGTGGCAGGTCAACCAGCTACAAGAACGACAAGGAGAAGGGGCCGTGCTTCAAATGTGGAGAACGAGGACATCACAAACGCGAATGTCCGAAGAGGGAGAGTGCAAAGATGGCCACTCACTACGAGGAAGATGAGGAAGCCCAATACACATACCACACCACTGAAGAGGAGCAGGTCCCTGACTTCCCCGATGGTGGCCAGGAGGAGTTCCCGGAGGGCAACTTCTATGGGATGGATGGATCATCAGGGCTTGAGCCTATGCCGGTGTTCCAGGCCTCCGTCTCCACAGAGAAAGCCGTATTGGAAAAAAGCAGTGATAGACGGAGGAGCGACAAGAACAATGGCCTCAGTGTACGCCATGGAGCAGTACATGAAGGCAATGAAAGAGCAACACGGAACCGACGGCGTCAAGCACACCGGAGTCAAAGAAGAAGACAGGCCAATTTTGGCTTTGGAAATTCACAAAAGGCCAAGTGTCTTTCCACCTGTGTACTGAAGCTACCTCATGAGGATCGACCAATGCAACTCAAGGTACACGTTCTGGGGGAAGGCAAGGCTCCGGTGCTGCTGTCAGTGGACACCTTGCGGAAGATGGGTGCGATCATTGACGTTGCCTCCGATGAGGTGATTTTCTCTCAGGTAGCTCCAGACAAGCTGATCAAGCTGGAGCGCTCCGGTGCATAGCTTGAGGCAGTTAGTAGCGGATAGAGTTTCAGAGAAGCCTCATGATTCATCAGAGTACGATGGCAGACTCTGCTCAGGAAAGCCTGAATCCGAGTGGGAGGAAATCAAGAGAACAGGCAAGTCAAGAAGAGATCACTCACAGTCTGCAAGCAATGTAATTCAGAGTCCGATGCATGAGTTGAACAGAGAGGGTTCTATTTTTGGACAATTTCCTTGATTTTTCAGCAGCTTTGCAGAGATGTCAGCAGTCACACTCCTTCGAATCGACCGAAACGGGGAGGGGGAAACCAAGGAAGGGTGCAGGTTGTGTGAACATCGCAGCTCCTAGTGACCCAACAGTCGCATCAAGCTCGATCGACCCAAGTTCCCACTCCACAAGATCTCATGGCGCCCAAGAAGTACATCCCTTCAGAGAGTGCGGCAAACCTGAAACCGCACTACCTGTGCGCGATCAACGAGTGCATTGCAGAGTTGCGGGCTGCAGGACAACCAGTACACCAAGATCTTTCCCTGGCAGAAGTGAGGATTGCTGTTCGCGAATTGCGCCTACGCCAGGGACAGCTGACCATGCGCAGCCCAGGAAATGATGTGATGCAGCAAATCAAGAACTCCAACAAGCCAACCTTGGTGGAGATGTGCCACAACTACCAGGTGGCACTCCACCCAAAGGCAACAGTGGGGGAGCTGCGCCTAGCACTCCGTCAGGCAGTGATGAACAACTGCTCTGGAGACACGACCATCGAGTTCGGCAAGCGCAAGGGAGCATCCTTCATCGAAGTCTACACCATGAACCGCCCGTACAGCCTATGGGCTATGCGAGAAGTTGAGACCAGCGAGAGCCCCGATTGGAAGCTGCTGCAATTCGCTCAATGGGTGAAGAAGATGGAGAACACCGGAGAACCCCAGGGAGAGACTACATCACCTCCAACAGCTTCGGCAAAGATGCCCTCCCCCACGATGACACCACGGAAGGACATCTCTACAGTGGACCATCAGGGCTATACTTGGGGACACCAACTCTGCTGAAGGCCCCCCCCCACAGCAGTACCTGCGGAGGCCATGGGGGCATCGAGTGCAGAGACTGCCGAGCTGAAGGAGATGATGAAACACATGATGTTCAAAATGCGCACCATGGAGGCAGACCTGAAAGAGGCAAAGGAAGCAGCAACTTCCTCCAAGACCCGCAAGACCTGCGCCGTGAACAGCTTCGAGAAGGTGGAAACCATCGGAGAGCAAATCTCTCAGGCCCCATTCGAGGGTCAGTAGAGGTAGGGCCGGAATCTATCTACAGGGAGCCAGAGTGTCTAGTGCGCGATCTCCTCCAGCGACTTGGAAAAGCTGGATCAAATTCCTTGGGAGGTCACACAAGCAATAGACGATGGCCGTACGTTTTTGATGGAAGTCGCATGCGCTCCTGATTCACTACTCGCCAGTGAGGCACATGCAAAAGGTTCCGCGCCGGCTTGTTTAACGGATGTGAATTGACTTCTCCTGAGGGTTTGAGGAAAACGTTGAACATTCAACATGTGGATCAGTACCGAATGCGGTGCTTTCAGTCCCATACAGAACTTCAATCAACGAACTGAACAACAGCGAAGGACCTTCAAGACAAACAAAGAGAGGCTCGCAAACAACGCATTGGTGGGTTGCTTACTACGCTTGTTCGGTCGGCAGCCATGTGCATTGGGAATGGAGTCGTAGGTGTAGAGCCTGGAAGTGGGAACATGTTGATAGGTTTCGAGCGAACATGAACACGGCCACGGCTATCATTAGCGGGTGTAGGGTTGGCTTGAAGGACTCCAAAAACGGAGGCCTTTTAGTAGGTAAAGAGTGGCGAGTAATCGACCAACCCGAATTTCGCTTCGAAGTTGCATTTGACGCGTCGTGGGGTGGAGTGCGAGGGTTGTCATTCGCAATGTGAAGGACTGACCACGAGACAAACGGCTTTCTATATCCCCCAACCCTATAGATCAGCTGAGGTTAAAAATAACCTCTGAGGTTATTCCCAAAAAATAACCTCAACCATTGAATAACCTCAAGTTCTTGAGGTTATTTTTTGAGGTTATTCTTAAACATAACATTGAGGTTTTTTCTAAGAATAACCTCAAAAACTTGAGATTATTTCTAAGAATAACCTCAAAAACATTGGAAATCTTTCTGAAATCTTGGAGGTTTCCAGTATGATTAACATCAAATAGTTTGTCAAATAGCTAACAAATATATGCAACCGGCCATCAATATTTCAGCAAAAGTTCAGAATCTTTACCAATAACTACAATATTTCAGCCACAAACCCAAATGCTTACACATAACTGCAAAGGACAAGCCTGGGTTCCATGTATAACAACCACAGAATGTTTGTAACTTTCTTGTTTTCTATGTGTGGAAACCAGAAGGAAAAGGAACAATCACAAAAAAAAGGAAACAGAAAAGGACGAGGAAAAGGAACAGGAAAAGGATCAGGAACAGGAAAATGAAGAAGAAAAGGAAAAGGAAAAAGAAACAACAAGGAAAATGAAAAGGAAAAACGAAGAGGAAAATTAAAAAAAACAAGGAAAAGGAAAAAAGGAAGAGGAAAAGGAACAAGAAAAGGAAGAGAGAGAGGAAAAGGAAAGGGAACATGTTTTTTGGGGGAGAAGGAAAGTGCGGAAACAAAATCTAAAGACTAAAACTGTGGGCAATATTTTTTGGTGAGGAGATTTCAGGAAGCAAAATCTATTGAATAAAACTGTGGGAAAAATTCTGGTGAGGAGAGCTCAGGAAACAAAATCTAATGACTAAAACTGTGGACAAAAGTTTTGGTGAGGAGAGTTCAGGAAGCAAAATCTAATGACTAAAACTGTGGACAAAAGTTTTGGTGAGGAGAGTTCAGGAAGCAAAATCTAATGACTGAAACTGTGGACAATCTTTTTGGGGTGAGGGAAATTAAGGAAGCAGATCTAATGACTAAAGCTGTGGACAACAAAAGTTTGTCCACAGTCCTAGTAATTAGATTTTGTTTCCTGAACTCTCCTCAGCAAAAATCTTTGCCCACAGCTTTATTCATTAGATTTTGTTTCCTTACTTTCATTCACCCCAAAAGTTTTGGCCACAATCTCCTCACCAAAAACTTTTGCCGACAGTTTCATTCATTAGATATTGTTTTCATACGTTCATTCACCCCAAAAAGATTGTCCACAGTTTTAGTCATTAGATTGTGTTTCCTCAACTCTCCTCACCAAAACTTTTGTCCACAGTTTTAGTCATTAGATTTTGCTTCCTGAACTCTCCTCACCAAAACTTTTGTCCACAGCTTTAGTCTTTAGATTTTGTTTCCTGAACTCTCCTCACCAAAACTTTTGTCCACAGTTTTAGTCATTAGATTTTGCTTCCTGAACTCTCCTCACCCAAAAATTTTGCCCACAGTTTTATTCAATAGATTTTGCTTCCTGAACTCTCCTCACCAAAACTTTTGTCCACAGTTTTA